CAGCAGGGTGGCGAGCAGGGCGCGCGCAGAACTGCAACCTCGGCCGGCCATGGCGACGTCTCCGGCAAAGGTTCCGCGAGGCGCCACTTAAGGGATAGGGTGAGCCGTGCCCCGCCCACGCCTGGCCACGCCCCCGCGGGGACCAATCAGAGGGAGTGGGATGGCGGGACGGGGCCTGCTTACGCCACCACCATCTGGAGAGGAAATCTGTTTATTTACCTTCTACCTACTCCGCTGCCTGTACGGATGGCGAATTTGCCCTTAATTGGAATGTTTATTTTGTCTACAGGTGGGAAAAGGACGGCTGGAAGAAATTAAGCAATTCACCTAAGTCATACGGCTAAGAAATGATCGACTTCTTACGCTCGCGGCGCACATACTTTGGGTACTAAATAACTGGTGTCGGCGGGGACAGGCTGTGTCCCGCACAGGCTGTCGCCGGACAGCAGCCGGGTCGGATGTTTCGCTCAGGGGTGCTTCCTCTCCTGTCTTCTAAGGCTGCCCTCTCATCCTGTCCTGCTAGATGAGCTCATCCCAGTTAGCCCATCTGCTTTGTCATTTCGAAAAAGCCTTGCTCACATCTTTTCAGAGAATCTTAATCTTCTTGACCTGGCCACAAATTCCCCCTTTCACTGATGTTCTAAAGGTTTTGTGGTGGTGCTGGCGTTTCTCATCTTGGAGATCCAGCTCAGGGTGAAACCTGGCCCTCTGAGGACGTCTTTTTTTTTTTTTTTTTTTTTTTTAGAGAAAAGTAGTTTATCTCGGCCTCTGTAAATCAGTCGTGGGCAGCAGATGTGTGAGCTCAAGTCCCGGCTGTGCTTTTCGTCTCAAATGCAGCCTCTCTCCTCTCGGCCGACTTCCCGGGCTGCTCAGCAGAAACTTGCCTACGATAAGGAGATCCGCACTCTGAGTGAGAGTTTTCTGTCCCTCTGGTGGCCAAACGAGCTCACACACACCGGTGCTAAGAGGAATGGGAGCAACGCTCAAAGTTGGTTTTGCTTTTAAACCGTTGAATTTGGTAGAATTTCAAACCAGATGGAAAACTAAGTGGGCAAAATTTAAAAGGAAGAAAGCTGAGTCCATCACTTGCAAAAAAAAAAAAACTTAATATGAATAGTTTGAGTGCTGACCTATTACACATATTAAGCATTAACAAAAAGGCACACGTAATTTAACATTTGTAGCTCTAATTTCATGTATCCACTTCATGTGCCCATGGGTCTTTCAGGCTCTTTTTGAGCCTCAGCGTTTTCATCTAAAATGAGCTGTGTTAGATTATTAGATGATCTCTGAAACCCTTTCTAGCTCTATATTTTTCTACTCAACATGCAAAAGATGGACCCCTCATAGGTTTCACAATGTGAATTATTTTGCAAGAGGACGGTGCCATGACATAACTTTGTTTATTGCTATACCACTTATTGTTGGCATATGAAATAGTAATAGGCTTTATTACGGCTCTGTTGTAAAACTGGTGCCTAGTACTTGGCAACCAGCATAAGAATTTAGAATGAGGGCTACAACTTCCCGGCTCTGCCAGTCTGTCCCAAACTCAAAATGCTCTTCCCTCAGCTACTGGCCTGAATGCCTCTCTCCCGCTCTGATTTCCACTCAGATGTTACCTTCAAAGTGCCTCTTTGATTGCTTTTTCTCAGAAGCCTTCCTGTCACTTCCAATCAGACAACCCTGTTTATTTCCTTCCTAGCCATCATCAAACCCTATAATGACTGCAGTTAGTTAGTTGCTTGTTAACTGTCTCCACTGCCCCGGTAGAAGCTCCAGGAGAACAGGAATGTTGTCTGTCTCGTTCACCTCCACATCCCCAGCACACAGAGTGGGCACACAACGAATATTTGTTGAATGACTACCTGGCTTAATGCATTAATAGCCAATGGGATTCTTGGCACACAGATCTGTATGGAAACAGCAGTAGGAAGTGAGGGTGACTGGACTGAGATTTTCGAGTATAACAGGGCTTTAGGTCTTAATTAGCAAATCGGCCTCGCTGAGTTGAGCCACAAGTGGCTGAAGTAATCATCCAGATGTTGCTATGGCTTCTCCTGACTTCCTATTTGAACGGCCTGCACTGACCCCTCCCCTCACAGCCCCCGCCATGAAATAGCTGTCTTTTCCTCATGTCCAGGTTTGGTCTTGTGGAAGAACCCACCTGCAAGCTCTTTCCCATGCTGTTTCCTTGTTTATTTGTCTAGGAGCCACCAGCCGTAGTTCCTTCTAGGTCAGGAGCGGTGGCTTTGTCATCTCTGTGTCCCAGCACCGAGCATAGTGCCAGGCATCCAGCGGGCACCTACTCCATGGTGTTGGCATCGGAACCGTTATGCCAAGTGCTGAGGGTCATCGGGCTGTCTGCAATTCTCTAACAGTTCAGCTTTAACCATGAGAAACTTCTTGCTTTGTGATAAGCATGCTTCGCGTAGGAGCCAGGGCAGTGCTGGAAAGAGCTAAATGTAAAGCCAGTCACATTTGACCTTAGGATGATACTGAGGCTCGATTCCTGATCATTAAAAAGGAGGAAATGATAACTCCTACCTTATTTGATTTTTATAGAGATTAAGACAGCTAATGCACTTAAACACTCAGCATAGTGCTTAGAACATAGAAAGTATTCAATAATTGTTATCTATGCATTAGTTAATTGTTAGCTTTTGTTCTACCATTCCAATTTTTTTTTCACTACTGCAGATTGAGCCCAGCGCCTTTGCACAGAACTACATCCCCAGCCAGCCCCATTTAAATTTCTTATTTCAACACACAAGTCCTTAAGTTGCTCCGACTGGGCTCAAATTCACAGTCGTGCTTCAGCTTCCCAGAGTGCTGGGATTACAGACCTGTGCTAGCACACATGGATTGCTCCTGTTTTCTACTCTGTAAATCTGTAGACTGCTTTATTTATGCTCTTTTTTTGAGCCTGAAGAATTTCCATTGCAACCCCTGGAAAGAAAGAAAGAAAGTCTCCGGGAAAAGTAATGTCAAAAACACTAAGGAATTCCCCGGGTATCTACTGAGGAAGGAGTTTTACAGCTTGCCCCACTGTAGGAGGCAAATGAATGTGTATAATGTTTGCTGTTAAGCAGATGCCCTTTCCTGCATTTTCCTTCCCATTTCTGTTCACTTTAATCAAATGTTCTCAGCACATAAAAGCTGCCGTTTCCTGTGTGCATTTACATTTGGCTAACAATTATTTTGCAGATGTTTGGGAATAATTCTTGACACTGCTGAACCTAGAGGACTTGTTTTCTAAGTGTGTTGACAGTGCTTAGCATATGAAGTTGGTACTAATATCTTTTGGATTATATATTTTAAATTACAAAATACATCAGCTAGGCTTAAAGACAGCATTTCATTCAGCATTTCAATAAGTCCATAACATTAAACAGCAAAAAAAAAAAAAGTTACCTATGAATCAGAAGAAAATGATTACATTAGAATTACCAACACTTCGCCTCATCACCACAGTGAGTTAAAAGCAGAAATGAAAGGGTGCCTACACTAAAATTTATGATGCCTGCCGGTTGCCAAAATTTCTGCTTTTTATGCACACAGCAAGTGCCAAAGAAGCCCTGGGCACTATAATAGGCACTGGGAACCCAGATGTTAAGAGCTGTCCTTATCTTCACGACAAATTTCTGCCTCACTAACTCACAGAGAAGCAGAGGATAATGCCACGTCACTGGTGCAATGCGGGGGACTATAAAAGAGAGGAGAATGCTCGGCAAAAATGAAAACTGGCTCACTTTGGAAATTGACTGCGTCTTGGACACATGACCCAGAAGTTCTACTCCCTGGTACTTCCTCAGCAGAAATATTTGCATATATGGATCAAAAGACGGGCTCAAAATGTTCATCACAGCGTGTGTGTGTGTGTGTGTGTGTGTGTGTGTGTGTGTGTGTTACCAGGGATTGAACTCAGGACCTTGTGCTTTTGAGGCAGGTGGCAGAATCACTGAGCCAAATCCCCGGCCCCAATCACAGCATTATTTGAAATAGGCCCCAATTACCCGTCAGAAATAGAATGGAAAATAAACTACAATGTATTCACACCGTGAACTAGTACAGGAAGGAATGCTGCTACAGGACGCAGCAGGGGTGAATCACACAAGTGTAATGTGGAACAAAAGAAGCCAGACACAAAAAGCATGTTGTGTGATTCTGGTTATAAAATTCAGAAGTAGACAAATCATTCTAAAATGATAAACATGAACACTGGCAGTCCCTTTTGGGGAGTGTGACCTGAAAGCAACAAAAAGGATTTCTGAGGTGTTGATAATGCTCCTTTCCGGAGCTGGGCCTGGCCCACACAGGTGTGTTACCTTCCAGAAGCCACCACAGAGCCTACACTTGACGTGGCATTCTCCTCCGCATGTATGTTTATGTTTCCCCCTAACAAATCGCCCCCCAGCGTAGTGACTCTAAGCAACGAACATGTATTATTGCACTATTTCGGTCAGGATCTAGATGTGGATTCACTGAATGATCCTGGCTCAGAATCTCCACAGTCACCGAGAATCTGTGGACTGAGGCTGCAGACATCGTGAGCTCTGCTGCAGTCTCCTTATAACTCGCCAGTCTCAGAACGACATCCCAGCCCTCAAGGTGAGGGGGTTACTGCAGGCGTGATGCCAGGAGGCAAGAAAGGCAGATCCATTCCAATCACTCTTCTGGCCAGTGTTTTCCCACTGCAACCCTCAGCCACATAACTTTCTACCTGTAAATGGATCTTTTTTTCAGCTGTGAACAGACCAT